CACCCAGTGATCTCCATCACCATCACCCAGTGACCTCCATCACCACCACCCAGTGACCTCCATCACCACCACCACCCAGTGACCTCCATCACCACCACCACCCAGTGACCTCCATCACCACCCCCACCCAGTGATCTCCATCACCATCACCCAGTGACCTCCATCACCACCACCCAGTGATCTCCATCACCACCATCACCCAGTGACCTCCATCACCATCACCCAGTGACCTCCATCACCACCATCACCCAGTGATCTCCATCACCACCATCACCCAGTGACCTCCATCACCATAGTGACCTCCACCACCACCACCACACAGTGACCTCCACCACCACCACCACCCAGTGATCTCCATCACCACCATCACCCAGTGATCTCCATCACTACCACCCAGTGACCTCCATCACCACCACCCAGTGACCTCCACCACCACCACCCAGTGACCTCCATCACCACCACCCAGTGACCTCCATCACCACCACCCAGTGACCTCCATCACCACCACCCAGTGATCTCCATCACCACCATCACCCAGTGACCTCCGTCACCACCACCCAGTGACCTCCATCACCACCACCACCACCCAGTGACCTCCATCACCACCCCCACCCAGTGATCTCCATCACCACCACCCAGTGACCTCCATCACCATCACCACCACCCAGTGACCTCCGTCACCACCACCCAGTGACCTCCATCACCACCCCCACCCAGTGATCTCCATCACCACCACCACCACCCAGTGACCTCCATCACCACCACCCAGTGACCTCCATCACCACCACCCAGTGACCTCCATCACCATCACCCAGTGACCTCCATCACCATCACCACCACCCAGTGACCTCCACCCCCCGCAATTTCCATCACCCCCCCCCCGTGATTTCCACCACCACCCCGTCACCTCCATGGCATGGCAGTATGCAGCAGCAGTCATCTGAGGTAGACACCAAGGCCTGGTCCACATGGCAGTTTTATTAAGAATACACAAATAGGTGGGTCGCGCCACAGGGCGCCAGTCAGAGGCTACACGTGTGAAACTGTAGAACACTCAAGTAGTAAAGGCCAGACTACAAACCGGGGCCAAGGCTGAAAATCAGCGTCTCATGGCGATCTCTTCATAAAACTCTGTCCTTTATGAATTAAATATAGTGAGAAACACACTCAAAACATATTCACGTTTTTTCCTAATGGGCTCTAGCAACGTATTTAATAATAATAAAATAATAATAATAATTAAAAAATCTCTCCTGTTTCTTTGCCAGCTCCTTTCAAAGAGAATTTTAAATATGACTTTAGGTTTTTTTTTTTAAATACAATCAGGAAATAATTACATTCTTACTATGAAGACATTTTACAACAGCTAGCCATGGTCAATGAATTCTGAAGGGCTGTTAAGGAAACGCTGGTGTTCAAATGCAGAATGTTTCCCTTCTCCGTGGAGAGCTAATTAACCAGATTATCGTCTTCAAAACACCTTTGGTCCCTGGGAAGCGCAGTGTCACTGTCCCACCCTGACATGACGGGGCGAGCGCGGGGCGCAGGGGCTGCCGGGGCTGCGGCAGGCCTCCTCCCTCCGGCCTGGGCCCATGCTGGCCACACAGGGCCGGGCGCCCGCGGCTCGGATGCTGTGAGGGAGGCTTCATGGTCAGTTTATTTCACAGTGTGGACCCGGTGCCCAGAGGATTAAGGAAGGAACAACGGGAACAAAATGGCCGCCTCACGGATCTGAAATCACTGCTCCCACCTAACATTTACTTTAGGAAAGAGGAAGGGAAAGCAAGAGCTTTCATCACGTCACCAGTCTGCGGTGTGCGCCCGCGGGCGGCGCTGGGAGGCGGCAGGCTCACCGTGCCCCCACAGCCGCTCAGCACACACAGCCGCTCACCATGCCCCCCCTGCAGCGCAGCCCCCCCCCCCCGCACACAACCGATGCTTCTCCTGCCCCTTTCATGGTAGCTGCGGTGCCGGGCAGGGGTGGAAGGTCTTGTGGCTTCTCCCCTGTCTCCCGGGAGCAGGGGGCCACGGCTGAAGCTACACCTCCCCAGGGAGGGGGTGGCAGGTTCGCTCTCTGGAAAGGGAGCGTGACCAGAAGCTTTGCCCACGGCCCGTGCCCGGCCCGCGCCAAGCTGTCCCTGAAGTCCTGCATGCAGATTCCGGCGGTGGCGGCCCGAGCCCAGGCTTAGCAAGGGCAGCCAACCTCCAGCCTGCTGGAGTGGGCTTGGAGACTTGGCGACAGCCCAAAGTAACTTGGGGACAAACAAGAGACAGATGTTGCAGACATCTGGGCTGGGCAGCCCGGGGCATGCAGGGAGCAGGCAGGAGAGATTGCGGCCCTGAAAGGGGGGGGGGTGTCACATGGGTCCCAGAGGAAGGGTTCTGGAAGATTCCACATGGTAGGCCTATACAGACCACTGTGACATATTAGTCACTGTGCAGTGCACGGAAGCAAAGTGACAGGGGGAGCCCAAGTCTGGGCCCAAGCTGGGGAGTTCCTAGAAGACATAAGAAACGCCAAGGGCATCCTTCCAAAGTGTGACTGGAGCGAGCACCAAGTAAGGAGGGGTGTGGAGTGACAGCTCGGCGCAGGGCGGTGCAGGGCGGTCCTTCCATGGAAAGGCTCAGAGTGGCGCTGGTCTGCCCTCTGCCCCTGGCTGCCCAGGGCCACGCCCAGGCACACAGTGGGAGGGTCACTGAGACCACCATCAGCACCCAGCAGGGACCCTGGGCGCGCTTCATATGTACACATATAAATTAAAACTCTGCTATTGAACATATACAAATAAATAACTTACTTTGAAGCAAATGCACTAAATGAACTTTCTGATCCAATCTAGAAATGTGAAGGGAGTGCGGGCGGGCGGATGCGGGCACGGACGCGAGCACGGACGCAGGGACGAGGCGCGAGCTGGGCGCAGGAGCCCTTGCGGGCCACAGGGCTCAGGATGTGTCTCGCCCGCTGAGCTCCTTCAAGATGACTGGTGACGTGACAGCAGTGGATGAGCAGACGGGTTTTAAATGTGCGTCAGGAGCGTGGGAGCCAGGCCCAACGCTCGCTCGGCAGGGCCTGACAGCGCCGACGCGGGTGGGGAGCCTGAGGCGGCTCTAGCACCCCACCCCCAGACCACAGGCGCTCACCTGCGCCGCCTCGCCCCACACCGCCGGTGGACACGCTCTGTTGTTTCAGTAAGAGTGGAAGCCTAGGATGGCTCTCCTGGCAAAGCAGCTTGCCGACTGGCATGGCCTAGGAGCCTGGGGCTGGTTAGCTCCAGTCGGCCTGAAGGTGGCAAGGATGCAGGGTTTCACCGGCCCGCAGGGGTCTCAGAGCCCAGGCGGTGGGAAGAGCTCTTCCCGGGGCTGGTGAGAACACAGGCCTGGGGGCCACCTGGCCCCTGCCTGGCGTCTCTGTACGGGGACCATAGTAAATGCTGGTGGCAGTGCCCTGCGGGTAGGGCCGCAGACACCGCTGACCCCTCGGGAGCCAAGGGGCTTCGTGGCAAATGGCTTTGCAGTGAATTCAAGGGCGCCAGCCGGGGCGCTCTCCTGCTTCTAAGGAAGACCAAAGGCAGCAGCGGGTCTGGAGGCCAGTGCTAGGAACTGACCTGGCCCTGACAGACGTGGGCATGGACAGGAGGCTGCCTGGGCAGGCCCTGAAGGTGCCTGTCCTGCAACCTCTTCCTATGCAATAAGAACATTCTGGATTGTGGGCGAATGGCTGGCTTTGTGTGGAGCACTGCTGGGTTCTCTGCTTGTGGGGGTGGGGGTGGGGGAAGCCCACACTTGCTGCAGAGGCACAGCCATGGAAAGTTCTGGCAAGTACCCTCTGGAGAGCACAGGCAGGGCCAGGCCTTGTGCGTGTCTACAGCGACCGGAGGCCCAGGGCTATTGCACGGAGGGCAGGCAGAGGAGCTGGGGAGACCTGGGGCCTGGGTCTGTGCACAGGGGTGCAGGCGGGCGCGTGGCCTGGGGTGCTCTCAACGGCCCTTCTGGGGCTCAAGCTGGCCCAGGCCATGGCTGTGAGTCCTGTGCTTTTTTCTTTCCAAGGGAGTTGTGGCCTCCACATCAGCCTCAGGCTGGAGGCTGCGGTGGGGGAGGGCTGGGGCCCCGGGCCGAGGGGGACGGGCACACGCGAGGCAAGAATGCAAACGCTGCGGCGGGAAGGCCGGCCACGGCGTCTCTGCGCTGCCCACGGCGCCCACGCGGCTGAGAGACACACAGGTTAAAAAGAATGGCAGCTCAGGTCCTGCGGACAAAGCACCGGACCAACACAACGCTCGCACCGCGTCCCCAGGGCCGGGCAGCGGGTGCAGACACTGCCGTGTGGGCTTGAGGTCTGGGTGGACGAGGACCCGAGGCCGGCGGCCAGTCAAGGTGGCAGAGGGGTCAGAGGCTGTGACTTCTCCATTCGACACAGGAGCCTCATACGACACGGGTCACTCCTTGGTTGCTTCTGCGTTTTGACGATGAAGTTGGACCCCAGTCTTACTAGGAAGCTCTCTCAGGGGCACGGCTGCACCGTAGAGGGCCGCGCGTGAGCCGCTGGCATCGGCAGTCCATCGCCATTGCATCCGGCTGGCGGCTGGATAGCGCGGCTGTGGCACGGGGGCGGGGCGGGGTCCCTGGGTGAGGCCGGGGGCCCTGGCCTTCCTCTAGGTCCCGTTCTTCAGCTCCCACTCCTGGGGGGAAGGAGAGCCGCATCAGCCCGCACACCGGCCGCCAGCTGGCCAGCTTTCAGGACTCAAGGCCGGCGAGTGGCTGGCACCCACCATGACACAGAGGTTCCCCAGGACGGAACACAGTGGCCTGGGCCCAGCACTTCCACTGTGTATCTGTGCCTATTCTAAAGCAGAGGAAGCGATGGGTGCAGTGGCTCAGGCCTGTAATCCTAGCCGCTCGGGAGGCTGAGATCTGAGGACTGCATTGCAAAAGCAGCTAGAACAGAAAAGTCCATGACAGCAAAAAGCCAGAAGTAGAGCTGTGGCTAAAATGGTAGAGCACCGTCCTTGAGCAAAAAAAAGCCAGGCGGGGATGAGGTTCTGAGCTCAAGCCCCAGTGCTGGTTTATAAAATAAAAAGAAACGCATGGTGGAGGGCAGGTGTCCACAGCGGGAGGTGTGGACAAACAGCCCACCTGAGGAAGGAAGGCAACAGACAGACAGACAGACACCTCGTGTTCCCAGTGCCGAGGCTCAGACCGATGGCAGAGCCGCCTGTGGCTCTGGTGTGCGTTTGGCCCAGCAGCCCAGCGCCAGCACAGCACCTGACCTGTGCACATCTTTAGGATGTCCTTGGGATGTCCCCGAGTGTCCCCTGCAGGGTGCCCTGCACACACATCTCCCCTCCCTGCCGCTGGGGACGCCCTGAGGGCCCGGAGTGGCACAGGAGGCGGCCTCGGGACCAGGGACCAGGCCTCCATCGGGACTCGCACCGCGGAGTCCCAGCGCGGCTCCAAGCCTGGATGGCCGCGCACTTCTGAGACGCCGAGGCTGGGCGTGGAAGGCAGTGGGTGCGATCCCGCCACAGGACGAGGTTCTGTGGGTGCCACCCCGCCACAGGACAAGGCCCCGTGGTGGCGGAGGAGGTTTCGGGTGTCCCCAGACCCTGGCAGAGGGCCGTGGAGGGAGGGAGGCCCTTCTTCCCTCTGTGAAGCTCACTTACTTGGTCACTCGGCCCGACCCGTGAGCCCAGCCCCGGGCTGAGCCGGGCGAGCTCTGGCTCCCAGAGGCTCCGGCGGGCCTGAGGTCTGGGTCGCGTTCACTGGCAGCCTCCAGCGGGCAGTGCGGGGCAGCCTGAGGGAGGCCGCCCGCGCCCGCCCCGAGCTGCCCTGCGCCCTGGGAGGCCCGAGGACTCACCTTGGCCTTCTGCAGCACGTGCCCGCGGCAGGGCGAGCTGCCCGCGGCCGGCTGGCTCTTCTTGAGGACGGCGGCGCTGTTGATGGGCAGCGGGCCCTCGGTGTCACTGGTGTCGCAGCTGGAGATGGGCGAGTTCTCCAGAGTCCGGTGCCGGAAGCCGGGAGACTGCCCGCGAGAGACGCCGTGAGCCGTGCCCCACAGCCTTTCCCGAAAGGATCACACCCCACCCCTTCTCACCCTGAGGGGCGGAACGGGGACCTTGCACGGTTTAGAACAAGCCCAACCACCCAGTCACCCACCTCCTAGCCCTGAACGCAGCATGCTCCAAAGAAGAGACGGGTGACCAGAAGGAGGACACAAGCAGGACCGCCACAGACAGTGGCCAGCCCTCAGAGGAAGGCCGGGGCGCGGGAGGGGGGTGACGGAGGGGGAGGAAGGCTG